AAAAAACTTGATTATGCTACCAATGGCCTCTTACGTTTGCTATGCGTGATCTCACGAAATTCTTGAAACTGAAACCACAAAATCCGGTCAAGGTAAAAGCAAAACAAATACATGTACATAAAGAGTGAAATATAGATGTAAAACTGTTTTCAATTTCATTCCGTGTAAAACCAAGACCAGAGCAATCACCTCTGGCCAATCACGAAAAACTCAAATGACAAAATAAGCAAATCAGATCTCGTCTCTAAACGGGGCCAAGCAAAAGAAGACACACGCAAGCCAAGTCACGGTTGGTTTTGCTTTGGTCCTGATCGCTTTAAAATGAGCTGTTTGAAGGAGTTTCGTTAAAGCTAATTAATGCAAAGACTAGTAAATTCAAGTTAAACGACGACTAAGATACGCCGTTTCAACGAAACGTTTCCTTAAAGTACTAGTAGGAAATCAAATTACATTGATGATGAACATATGCGTTATGTCACAGTTTCCTGTTTTAACAGTGCAGTTAAAAAGATCAATACTAAAATCATTACCGTCAGCTCACACACAAAGGTGGCCGTTAGTAACAACAACATTTTTTTTTTATGGCTCAAGCGTGCGATTCATCCTCGTGCTTTATTTTCGCATAGTTGTCGTCGTCCGTTGCTGCGTCCTGTGGGAGATTAGATTCCTTTTCTTTCTCGAGAGAGGCATATTGTGGTTCAGGATCTTCGATTCCATAATCTCCATCATTAGCGACATCATATGTTGGGTTAGATATCCCGTTACTGCCGTCATCATCCTTTTCTTTCTCGAGAGAGGCATATGGTGGTTCAGGATCTTCGATTCCATGATCTTCATCATTGGCGACATCATATGTTGGATTAGATGTCCCGTTGCTGCCGTCATCATTGTTCCATTGTCTTATTTTTTCAGTCACTGAGCCACCTTTTGCTTGTGAAATGGAATCATATATTGGGTCTTGGCCAAAAGCTGGGTTATCAAATGCAGTGTGAGAGTTGCTATTAGTCACCCAGTCATTTTCCAACTGTATGCCGTCTGCTGGTCTTGAATTATGCGCTCTCTTTCTGTAAGACGAAATAAATATTTTTATAAAGTGCATTCATTTCTATGATAAGCGGTGGAACAATCCAGCGGTCAGCACGTTGGACGTCGGATTGATAGGGATATCGAGAGATCCGACTTTGAGCCCTAAAGTTTGAGCCCCGGTCGGATCATGTTGGGATTTGGGACAAAACGCTTTACTCTCATAGTGTCATTAAGGTGGATGGGAGTGAGTTCCGCAAACTGTTGGAGCAGCGTAACAAATTTCTGGTGGAGCCTATTTCATGCGGACGGAGTAGTAATACTCCTAGTCACTTCAGATATCGGAAACTGGAGCTCAGTACTCCCTTGCCTCGCCACCTGACCTCTTTTAGTTTGGGGGTAATGCTAACAAGAAGTGACGCTAAATGAAGTTCGCCCGTGTTTTAGTAGAGTCACATTACACTGGTTGGCTACATCAAGATAACAAGGAAGCCTTACCGTCTCATTCGGTAGATAACAAATGCAGCCACTAATATCAACACGATGACAAGGCTTACAACACCAGCAGCAATCGCGCCTACGGGCGTTCCTTTATCATCTTGGGTTGATTTTGCGCCTTCTTTCGGTTGCTCTGGTTGTTTTCCTTGTAAAGAAACAATTGTTGTTGGCGATATGGCATGTTGCTATTGAATGCTTAAAGGCAAATACCAATGGTCTGGTACGTATTCAACTAAAACCTAAGCAATCGTGTGCGTGCATGGTCTGACTGTTCTCTAACAAGCCTCCCAGGCAACCAACCAACCGACCAATCAGCCAACCAATCAACCAAGCATCCAACCAAGCATCCAAACAACCATCCAAACAACAACTAACCAACCAACCTACCAAGCAACCTATCAACCAACTTGTCTCGACGATACTAAATCTTACGAACTATTTTCCCCATGAAAAGGGAAAACTCGAGTCCGAATCCTACAACCTACATTCAAGAAACACACCGATTCGAATATTAATTCATGGACAGTAAAATTTAAGCATGCATTCAAAAAGAATAGTTCACATTCGACAGTCTTTTGTTCTGCCGTCCCAACGGACGGCATTAGCGTTAATGAACAAGCAACCAAGTAACCAAGCAACCAAGCGACCAATCAACCAAGCAACCAAGTAACCAGCAAGCAACCAAGCAGCCAATCCACCAATCCGGCAACCAAGCAAAATAGCAACCAAGCAACCAAGGGACCAGATAACCAACAAAACAAGCAGCCAACAAACCAACCAACTTAACTATCAACCAACTCACCAACCAAAACCAAACCAGCAACAACAGGCAGACCAACCATACCTACCTACCAACCTGCCTACTTAACTACCCGCCTATCTACTGACCTATTAATCTCTGAAATTATAATATTCACTGAAAAAGTAATTATTTACTTATTGTTATCCGCTTGATTGATCCTCCAACCGCCTTCTGAAGAACTTCTTTGTTTTTATCGACCATTTGAACCAGTTCTTCAGGTTTGGACGGTTGTGGAGCCTTCCCATCCACAGATGGAAATAGGACAGCAAACTCAATTATCCAAGTATTTTCTCCATTAGGAGAAAGTCCAAGTATTTTGACATCAGAATCCTGAATAAATTTTGCCCTTTCGGAACGCTTAACTCGCCCAGACGTGCTGTAAGAGAAGAGGAATAATTGATAAGAGAGTAATGGACAGAGACTAAGAGCAAAACTAGACTTACAAGACTAGGACCTGGGAAGATATAGAGGTTACACCAGGGAAGGTAAGGTGAAGTTTACACTTTATCGCGGGAAATTGCAACGTTGATTCCGACTAGACGTTTCTTAGAAAAACCGTAGTTAATACAGATGAATGTTAATTAATCCGGGCAAAATGTAAGGAGCGGGAAAAACGGCAAGATTTGTGTTGGCAGGGCTACAATCGTGCAATTACGTAGCCGAAACGTTTGGTTAGGTGCGCAAACGGGAGTAACCACCTATTGAGTGAGGGTTTTCCTCGGTGAAGGCAGAAAAAGCTAACAAAGAGCTAGACAAAACAAAGAACGTTGTCGAGCTTTAAAGGCAGATTTAAAGGTGTTACCTTTTGCATTCGCCACTCTTGCAAAAGAAATCTGTACAAGCTTTTGCGATTGCAACTCTGAAGTTAAATTCAATCCATTGTTTCTGTAATAAAGCCAAGACAATCAATAATAGATTATCAGTTTAGCGGAATTTGAGATATACTACGCCGTGTGTGCAGGCACGGTTGCCTCATGGGTAGTGTGCTGGTCCCCGGATAGAGCGGTCCGGTTTCCAGCCCTGACCGTGGTCATCATGTTGTGTCCTGGGCAAGACACGTGACTTTTGGAGTGCCTCTCTGTCCAGCTATATAAT